AGAGGATGCCAACTACACTGTAGATGTGCTTACAAAATGTGCAGTGCGTAAGGATGAAGTTGGGAAAAAGACAATTAAGATTATTCCTTTGAAAGAGCGTGGAGAACCTGTTGTTGTTTCTGTTCCTATTTCTCAGGCAAAGTTCCTAATATTATCCTACTATCCATAAGCTTCCTTCTTCTTTTTGACATTCTGCTGAAATTGCACTGGGATTTTCGTTCAAGCTTTTCTGCAATTTTTTTTTTTTTTTTTTTTCCACAATTGTAGTTTTTGTTGAAATTTTAAATACTTGCAAATTCTTTTTGGCCAATAATGTTGATTATACTGCTTTTTAAATTACTACGGACAGCTGTTGCTCTCAAAAACTTTTGGTTGACAATATAATTGTAGAGGTTTTCTTTTTCTCTATTAAAAACCTAATTTCATCTGAAAAAAATATAATAGTATTGCACTTTGATATTAGAGAATGCTGAGACTTGAAAATTTGTATTTTCCTAAAATCCTTTTAACTGGTGTTGGTGTCATAACAACAGGAATATTTGCTTGAGTGATTTTGTGTAATATTTTTCAGATTTCTGTTATTATCATGGGTTGGTCATTCTGTAACTGTGAAACTGATATGCTCAATTTCTTTGGACAGGTTGATAGCTTAAGTAGTGTCCGGCTAATGATACCAAAAGATCTTTTACCATTGGAAGCTCGAGAAAATACCTTAAAGAAGGTGTCAGAAGTTCTCTCAAGATTTGCTAAAGAAGGAATGCCTCTATTGGATCCTGAAGAAGACATGAAAGTGAGTTGTACATTTATTTTCAGCAGCATGTTTCCCCTTCCTTTGATTTTAACCCTTTTATGTTCATTCTTCAGGTTCAAAGTAGCTCTTACAGAAAGGCTGTTCGTAGGATAGAGGCTTTAGAGAACTTGTTTGAAAAGCATGAAATTGCAAAATCTCCACTTATTGAACAAAAGCTCAAAGTTTTACACATGAAGAAAGAACTTACAGCCAAGATCAAATTAATCAAGAGAACAATACGTTCTTCCACAGCATTAGCTTTCAAAGATGAACTTAAAGCAAGGAAAAGGGTTCTCAGGAGACTCGGGTGAGAAAACTTGTCTGTGTTTTGACTCATTTATTTGGAAAAGGGAATTACCTTTGGTAGTGGACTGATTTCTGCTCCTGCTTGGTTGAGGGCTGAGTTAGCCTGATTTGACATCTATATCAGATCAGGGACATGAAATCTTCTTCCCAAGGTTTTCCTGCCGTGAGAACCCGTGCTCTAATTTTTGAGACCTGGTTTGGACCATTCATCATCAGTATGAAAGAAATTCCATGTGAATCTAACCCCTTGTGGTCATTCTCCTTTCTCTTATAGATAGCTGAACATAAACTTCTCCAATTATTACCTTTCGATTTGTTTACTTATTTACTATATAAATTTTTGGAAAAGGGAAGAGTAAAGATGTCTGACAATTGAATATGGTGTTATATGAGGCCCAAAAGAAATTTATGCACACCTGTACGCGCACATATGAAGGATCTATTAATTCCAAGGGTTGTGAATAATAAAAAAAGATACGAAAATTAAGGCAACTGTTGTAATGATAGAAAGCTGAGACCAGTAAAGTTAATAATTGGATGTTGGAATGGATTCTAGAACTTTAGTGCTATGTTATTTTATTTGATAAATCAGGCATGATTGTCTAGTGTCTCTTTGCAAACACCATCTAATAGAAACAGAAAGTAAATACAGGTGCGTTATTCATCTTGGCAGATATTAAAATTTGTTTTGACAAAGATGTGCTTGTTGTGTTGCAAAATTAATAGGAGAAGCAGATGTATGGAAGTAGTTCTTGGAACTAGTTTTTCAAAATGACTTGCCCGCGTACTTGTTGAAAATTCTAACATATATGTTCAACAACCAAAAAAAATCTGGAATTTGGTGTTATCATTTATTTTTTTCATATCTAATTGTATAGGATTATGTTGTATGAAAAACGTACTTTGTCATTTTTCACCACTTTTTCTTTTGATAAAGTCATCTTATTGAGAGAAAAAATATATATATATTTATATTAAAATTCTTTGAGTGGATCATCTGCAGATATGTCACAAGTGATGACGTTGTGGAGTTGAAGGGTAAGGTTGCTTGTGAAATCAGTAGTGCAGATGAGTTGACCTTGACAGAACTCATGTTTAATGGTGTTTTTAAGGACATAAAGGTAGAAGAGATGGTGTCTCTTCTTTCTTGCTTTGTCTGGCAAGAGAAGCTTCAGGATGCTCAAAAGCCCAGGGATGAACATGAGTTTCTCTTTACACAATTACAAGATACAGCCCGGAGGGTTGCAAAAGTCCAGCTTGAGAGCAAGGTATGGATTTTTTTCTGGGTCTTTTTTCATTATTTGTGCTATATTGTCTGAAAATATATCATCACCATGCTTAGATTTGAATTTTGGAATTCATTATTTATATGATGTTTGAGTTGGTCAAAGTTTACCAGTTACAACGTAAGAGCAGATTTAAAAAATAACGACTGGAAAGGGAAGGGGAGAGGGTTGTGCTTCAAAGTGCAATGAGAGATCATATTAATACACACAAGAGGATCTCAGCTATATGGTTATCTCAAAATGAGGACATTCTCAAATAATCAAATAAACTAAACTACGCATGCAAAACTTGACTGTGTTGCAACTGAAGTTGCCACCATAAAATTGAAAAATATGTGGATATTTTTAAGAGATACTAGAAGATTATATGTACATACTTCTATATTGTACAGAGGAAAATGATATATAAATCCACTTTTTAGACCCATCATCTAGACCCAATGATATGTAAGTAACATGATTGGTTGATGATTAGAAAAGATATGAGAGAGAGTATTGCCTTAGGTATCCTAATTTATTGGTTGATGATTAAAGAAGACATGAGAGAGAGTTTTGTCTAAGCTATCCTAATTGATTGCCACATCATTGGGATAAAAAATGGGGTCTAATTTTTGACTTGAATAGCAATGCCCTTGTACAAACCTATATCTAATTGACAACCTCTTGCCACCTTCAATTTATCCATACGGAATGGTCAATATCTGTCCGGCCACTGGATTGCCTAACTACCTGCGGGATTTGCTATAATCTGAGAAAAGTAGATGATGTTAGGTAATTACTTGATTGTAGTGATTTGTCTGATGATTTGGATTACTGAAATTTAAATCAATTCGGGTTTACTACAGTATCCATTGCCTTTTGGGCAAATTGAACCAGAATGCCAAGCAAAAACACACAAAACGAAACTAGCATAGAACATGCCAATTGCATTCTGATCTGCGTAGTCTATTTCCGAAAAAAGTTGTTTTAAGAGTTGGTTTTTTGCTATCTATATGATGGGTTGCACCCGATGTACTCTGGTCCAAGTTGACCCGAGTAATCAACTTCAATAATCTTTTTCACAGTCAAATTGGTAGAAGGATGTCAAAAATTATATGCAGGATGATTATATTTTTTTTACTTAGAAGCAGCTTTGGTCACTACTACGAGTGTGATTTTGCCAATGAATTCTTTCAAATTAAAATTCACTTCATCAACTGACTCAAAGATTTGTTGCCTTCCACAGGTCCAAATTGATGTGGAGAATTTTGTGAGCTCTTTCCGATCTGATATCATGGAGGCAGTGTATGCTTGGGCAAAAGGTTCCAAATTCTACGAGATTATGGAAATCACTCAAGTCTTCGAGGGCAGCTTGATCAGGGCTATCAGGAGACTGGAAGAAGTTCTTCAGCAGCTAATACAAGCAGCAAAATCCATTGGAGAAACTGAGCTCGAAGCAAAATTTGAGGACGCTGTTTCCAAGATTAAGAGAGACATTGTCTTTGCTGCATCTCTTTACTTGTAATTTAGGGACTAAAGAATTTTCATTTTTCCAACACTCTACGCTCCTTATGGAAGCATTTGCATCCAATCTACTAGTAGATGCTCATGGAAAGAGTTGCAAATGGAGAGAGAGTTGACGATCACAGAGACATTTACATTTTGAAGATGTTTACACACATTTTGATAAGAAGAGGCCTACTAAAATGAGGATGTCCTTGAAAGTGTCCCAGTCTTGAGCAGGGAAAGCAGATGATCGTGGATGTTTAATTTAGAGATCAGAACAATTTAATACAGAACAAGGTTGTCAAGGTAATTGTACTTGCAGCTTTACAAGTTACCCAATTTTGGAATATGTATTGTAGTACTGTATTTTTATGCCCATGACAAAATTCTTTCTCATACTAGTTATTTTAAGTTAGTTATTTTCTTTGAAATGCTTGCTTTATATATAGTAGGTGCAGCTGGAGATTATGTTACAATACCAACCCAAATAATTCCTTTAAAATATTTGTAATTTTCATGCACTATCACCGGAGGAGAAGGCTATTTGTAAAATATTTGTAATTCCTTTTAAGGTATTTTTTGGTTGCTGCTACATTTTTGTTTCATGCTTGACATGAACTTGTGCAGTTGAATATGTGCTGGTCAATTATTGCTTGGATTATTCATTAGCCCTGAAAAGCATAGGGGGTTCTGTACAAAAACCAAGACAGAATTAACCATACAACTGATCACACCATCTGCCATTGCTATCAACCAAAACGTGTGGCCGGTTTTGCTCTTCTAAATGCAGGAACATCATACTCTGGGTTTTCGAACCATGATGATTTGGCACATCATACGCAGCAATGGTGCTTAATGCAAATTCATGATTCACCCAAAAAAAAAAATGCAAATTCATGATTAAAACTTTTTTCTAAAAAAGGCTCTACATGCATCATTCACATTCCATCTGCCAAACCAAAGAATAAAACACTTACAGAAGAGCATTCTTCCCAGCCTTTTTTGAACAATTTCATCAAATGTAGTGCAGCAGATCATAATTACTATCAAACGCTTGAAACACCACCACCACGCAAACATCTACAAAGTAAATGTGTACTGGCACCAAAAACCGCATTTTCAAAACAAGAGGAAATTGAGAAGCTAAAACTATATATATTTATGTACACATGACCAGAAGGTATACTTTCCTCTATATATATTTTAATAAAAAATAAAAATAAAATAACTTTGACGACAAAACATAACAGCAAGTAATAGAGGAGGGTATTTCTCCATCTCCTCCCAAGTCTTCGGCACAAGAGGTGGAAGCAGACATTGTTTTTTCGCACCCCATCTAAGGTCCAAACTAGCAAGCACTACGACATTCCCTTGACAAAAAACAAACATTAAAATTAACAATGCACCCAAATCCCCTTTAGCCCACTCTCCCCCAAGACACCAAGTGGACTTAAAAGATTTGCTTTTTTTGTCTCACCAGTGTGTCCTTACTGCCGTTTGTCAATAACTGAACCAGCCATTCCAGCATGACCCAATGTCCATGGATAGCATCTCTGCTAAAATATCAAATCACAACTGATTGATTCTCCAGGTCATTCATCCATCTAGTATTTGTTTTTTATGGGCACGTCAGTGAGCAGGGCCCACATCTGATAACTGGTCCTCAGTGCCAACCGCATTATCCGAAGCTGACTTGCATGGTTTGACCTCATCACTGGCTGGAAGTTTAACCTTGGGTGACAGCTTCTTTACTTCCTCATTTGTGTAGATAAAAATCTTCCTCACCATGTTGCAGAACTCACTGAAAAGATAACCGAGGCTATAAAGATCAGAACCATTAAGCATTACAATATAATTATTTAACCAAGTCCATTTCAAGTATCGTAGTAAATCTGTACAATCCACGAGTGTCTAAAATAACATATAAAGTAATGCAAATTCTCACAATGGTTCTGACACTTCTTGCAACCTCATCAACAAAACAGCGCAGTTCAAAATGATCCGACAAGTTACCCAACACAATCCTGCCACTAGAACTGACTCTTTAAAGTACAACTCAATTGTTGTTCACACTTAAACTTGGACAAGACCAAGTTTGATGGCCAAAACAAATTCAATGACAATTTCAGTGGGTTAAAAAGTCAAGCCTATCAACCTTCAGGTTGTAGGTTTGAACCTAAGGGCAGCCACTTTGAGCAATTTATGCCAAAGGTTAGGTCAGTACCCATCCCAGAAGCCCATATATTGGGAACTAAACTGGGTGTAGTTTTTTAACATATCCGTATCCTATTTCGATGTTTCACAGATAATTGCACAACTCTAAACCAACAGATTTATGTTTCTCTTTTAAATGGGGGGAAATTCGAGGGAAAATATGAGACCTCTGGATTTCAAATGGTCCTGAGCCATCTAAGTGCACATGATCCATACATCCACTTAAAATGTCTGATAATCCATCACTGAATTCGAGGCTCAATGCCAAAAGTAAACTACAAGCCTAGGACCATTCCCCAGAGAGAAGAGATAAAAAGGAAGAAAAATTCGAAGAAAAAATATAAAAGAAGACTTGGGTATGTTACTCAACTGCCATGGATCATCCCCAACCATCATCATGTCATCCTCATCATCTGTATAAACAACCTGCCATTTTTTCAATGATCCGCAGAGTTCACCTTCAATTTCAAACATCTCCTCCAATTTCCTGAGCAGATCCTCGTACCTATACAAACGTGTCAAATCTACCGCCCTCCCAACAGCAATTCCTTGCATGTGCACCTGGTCAAAAATACACATTCCATCAAAACATTTTCATTCTCAACAAGTATGCTACTTTCACTTCTAAATCAGAAGCCAAAAGAAATCTAGTCAACCTACTAGGAGACTCTTGGTTTAGAGATCTAGAGCCCCAACAGAAATTGAATCCCAGCAAGTTTTATGATTCTGACAAATTACTTTAATTTCTAATAATAAGCTTCTTAGGGAAGTTATGTGGAGTATTACCACCTTGCGATAGAGCGTATGCAAAGCACCCATATCTCAGGGCATAGAGGTCCATCCATTATTGGCTTCTTTTGTTTTTTAAAAGCATTGAGAATAGAAGCCAAACTACCTTAGTGCAGCTCCGAACTTGTCTGCTTTGGGACTCCTGGGGTGATATGAGGCATGATTTCTCAGGCTCACAACTTATTGAAGGAATATCAGATCGATAAATATTTGAAGGTTCAGAATGCCTGTCAGATTCAACATCCAAAGATGGAACTGGCTGGTTCTCAGCTAGTGCACCTGGCACTGTAATCACTGGCAAAGTTTCCTCCATGGTACAATTGTCAAGTAGCTCAATCCCAAAGAGCCTGTAACCGTTGCTAGTGCCCTGTCTTTTTTCACTGGATTCCTTGTTAACAACAGGTACGAAAGACTCTGTCATGGTTTCCGCTTGGTTAGACCAATACATTGGCTTACTTGAAACTGGGGTGAGGGAACTATTCTCGCTGAAGCCATGAGGATTGGCTGAGGAGAATTTGGGGGAAGGATAATGATCCCGCCCACGTTGTGATTCACAATACGAGAAAGCTGAAGGAGACTCTGCTGGTGTTTTCCACATGCCTAACGGCACAAAGACAAAATTAAAAATCAACAGAAAGTGGAATTGCAGAAAGAGATAGTACAAAAAACTGCCATACCAAACGCAGAAAGATCTGGTGTTGGCGAGGGTAAAACTGCTGGTCGTGCCCGCTTGTTCCTCTGCAGAGGTTGGGAACTCGGAGAAGTTGCTGCCACAAGTGGCTCCAATTCCCATGGTGAAACTCTTTCTGGGCGCGAAATTGATGAAGGCTCATCCCATTGAACCTGAAGATGGGTACAAAACCACACGACTTAATGTGTCAAAATATATGACTAGCGTTCTTACAAACTGCAATCACACTGAAATAAATCCATCAAAGAAAATGTGGGGACACTGCTGCAGTGCTTATTACAAGCACCAGAGGACTTTGAAAAAAACTACTACTAGCTCCTGTAGAAAGTCCAAGCAGATGACATGCTTAACAACCAAATGTAACAAGATACTAAACTTGGAAGCCAAAAAACTAAATAAGATGATGCTTAAAGTGTCATGAAACCACACATTCCCAAATTGTTGCAAATACTAAAGAATATCACATTTAGCGGTCCATCCTATAATAAGGGTCCTAAGCAAATATAAAGCAATCAAGTGGCTGTATTCTGGTGGCATCCCCCTAATGCCATTTTTATGAGATTATTATTTATGAAAAAAATAAACAAATAAAAAAAAACAAACAAGTGACAGAAGCACAGTGCTATGGATTAAATACTAGTGGAACTTGTCTCAAAAAAGTGACATGGGGCGATAAGGTCAAGAAGAATATCCTTCGTTCTAAAAAGGCATTAATGTCCGTCATCTAACAACCTCATATAACACAATCATCCTAACCTTCCAACAGAAGTATCACAAGATTTTTTGAAGTATGGTTAAATCTCAAATCTAGGTTTTCCAATATCATTATCAGGCTAGCACATCAATACAGGTTCTTAAAAACCAAGAATGCAGATTCTATGTGTCACTACTCCGGATTCTGACCAACCAAAATTTACATGGAGGCAAGCAAGCAGCCATGTCCAGCACCAGACGCTACTCAGGTATTTCAACAGAGGTAGCCTAAACAAAACCTTTCAAGTTTCATCATGGTCTTTTGGTCATGTTGGGAGGAAATCATCACAAACAAACTGAAACTTGCATGACAGCGTAGCTTCCCTCTCTTGGCCTCAAAAGGTCCAGGTGCGCATTTTTTAAGATTAGGTATCAAGTTACATCCAATTGTATTACTTGTTCTTCGATTTCTATAAAGAGCCCTTTTAAGGTTCTAGATATCCCATGGGATGCAACCATCTGATCATTTCATTTATTTTTTTACTGACTAATGGCCTTAGGCCTATATATTGCCCTTCACAGAGGAAAGTAATGGCATTAAAATTTCAAAAAAATTCAGAGAAACTAAAATTTGTGCCCTCATACGAGCAAGGATAACATGTTTTCACTTGTGGGAAATCCAAATGAGCACTCAACTTCTGGTCAGGATAAATTCAAAATCAACACTGAGCTTCAAAGAGGAAATATATTTACCTTCAAGGATCTCCATTCAGAATCAGGCCATCTAGATGATGTACTTTCTGTGACACCAACAATTGTTCCACTGAACCTGCACAAATATGTAATTCGCCCAATTGTAATATGTTTTAGTTCCTAATTCTAACAAGCAATAGGCCAGCAACACTATACCTTCTTTCGGGAACTTCCTCACCCTCGAACCTCATCTTGAACCTCATCCCAACAGAGAGCTTCTGGCTCCGTGCTTCAAGGTACTTGTTGACACTGACAACGAACTCCGACCGACTTGTTCTGTCACAAATAGTGACGAAGTTCAGTAAAAACATTTTTTGTCCACAAATTACAGAGCAAAAGGAATTTAGCAAGCTTTGATATATGCAATGGAAGCCATTTTTCACATGCCATATTAGTGGATACAAGTAGGGCTGCAAACGAACCGAGCTGTTCATGAACAAGCTCGGCTCGGCTCGGCTCGTTTAGTAAACGAGCCAAGCTCGAGCTCGCATAAGCTCGGTTCGTTAAGCTCGGCTCGTTTACCTTTATTTAAATTATATAATAAATATATTATTTATATATTAAAAATATATAAATATATATAAAAATAATAATATAAATAAAATTTTTATATATTAAATAATGTAAATAATATTAAAAAAAATTTATCGAGTCAAGTCGAGCCGAGCCGAGCTGAGCTCGAGCTTCATTAAAATTAACGAGCCGAGCCGAGCCGAGCTCGAGCCCAGTTCCTTATCGAGCCGAGCTCGAGCTCAATAAACGAGCTCGATAAGTAAACGAGCCGAGCTCGATAAGTAAACGAGCCGAGCTCGAGCTCAGCAAAGCTCGGCTTGGCTCAATTCGTTTGCAGCCCTAGATACAAGGAAAAAGGAACTTCAAGAGCAGCCTTACTATTACTAAACCGTCTTATAAGAAACTTCTATCATTGTTAAATGTAGATACTATGTAAAAAACTAAAAATAATCTGTGCATTTCAAATCTAAAATACTTCTGCAATTGGAAAATCAAAATCTCAGTAAAAACAGATAAAATTAACACTTGGCTTCTCAAAAAAAGACACTATTAGAGAGCTCTGATCTGTCCAAGGTAGCATCGGGACCCCGTCAACATAAAGAACCAGAACAAAGCCCATAAACTAATATCTGGACTTAAAAACACAATAACAAGATGAGATAAATCTCTCCAAAACTATGCCACTCCTCACTTGACATACAAAAAATCATATTATAAATTCCAATCAGCACACCAGAATACCAAGATGGAGGAAAAAATACATAATGGGAAAGAGAACCTTGGTTTGTAGAAGACAGAAAACAGGGTTCCAGTGGATATAGCATGAGATGCAGTAGCAAGAACCCCAAGATGCATGCTGTGACTGGATATAACAGAAGATGGCATGTTGTTTTGTTGTCTCATGAGCCTCCTTACTCCAACTCGCAGCTCCCCATTTTCACCCCTGGAAAAATAAATAAATAAAAAAATAATTAGTCAAAAATTCATTCTAAATGACAGGAGATTGAAAAAACTAAAAGCATCAAATATGACAAAACTTGCCTCAGAAAAATAAAAGCATCACCAGCAACTAATTTTTTGGCACTAACAAAGACACTCCAGCCAGTTGTGAGTAAATGGCGCCTGGGTTGCCCTGCCGAAGAAGTTCGGTCATGTCTACTAACAAAGACTTCATAAATTTTATTTTTTAAAGGTCAAAATTCACAAGCATATTAAAAAAAATACTACAAACATCCTAAAATTTTGACCATTATACATTATTAACCCCAAATACCCCTTTTGTGTTAATAGGAGTGTTAAGAAAGAAAGAAGAATAAGATCTAATCAGAAAATATAACCAACAAGCAGATGCATATTCAAGTTACAAGGACAACCGAATGTAATGATCCAAACATCCTCAACATCCCCAAAAGAAAAAGAAAAAAAAAATGCCTATTCTTGGCAAGTAACTGGCCTTCCAATCACCCGAGCTACGCAAAATGAGAAGGTACACTCGAGGGCATAAAACAAGTCATGTTGCCCATTGAATATGGTAGACATCCAACATGATACGCCTTCCAGTACAATACTAGGCAATACTCTTAAGCTTCACTAGAATCCTAATGGAGTGTTAAAATCACAGACACAGATACCTAAAGAAAAAACCATAAATAACCCGCATTCTCTACAAACAACCAATGCCATCAAAAAGAGGTCACCTGTTCAAAGTGTTCATTATAAATCACAACCCAACACCAACCACATACTCAAACACCCATCATGCAACATCGTTATAAACAATTAAGGCCACCGTACCTTTCTAGACAACTAGCTCACAATAAAACTTTTCTGGCATCAAAATTATTTAAGTGGATTTTCAGCACCAGCATACTTAGCTGCACACCCTTGGAGCTTTGATGACTGACTGACTAACAATTATACATACAGTGCATGCAACACTGAATATATAGCAATCACACACAGGTTTCCAACTTTACCAGTCAGAAATTATCGTGCTCCAGTAAGGTCACACCCACAAACAAGTCATGAATAAAATGCTAACCTCGAAAAATGTGACGAAAGTGCCATTCACTTCCGTGAAGGTCACTTGCAACCAGTTCTTGCCATGGTGGCTGTTGGGACATATCCTGAAGAGGAAACTGGAAGTCAGCACCAAGCAGGAGAAATTGAAATGATATGAATAGGTGATTCTTGGGCAGTCAAAGAGTAAATGTACACATTAGTGACATTACACAATAAGGCAGAATTAAATGACATGTTAGAGCTTACCAGTGGAGGCAAGCACTCATCCGCATGCCTCCGAAGAACCGAAAATCCACCATGGGTGCTCGTGTCAGATGCAGTAAGTGTCTTGCAAAATGAATGGACATTGCACTTTTGAGGTTCTGGAAGAGGTGGATCTGAGCTGGTGACCTCACTTTGCTGACCCACAGAAGGAAATAGAAGTCAATAAAACAACCAAAAAGAGGAGAGATACTGTACACTGTACGAAAATCAATAAAGCATCACAGAAAAAAATATCAACCTAGTAATTCCCAGATTTAGAAGAGATAAAGGGGTAGATAACTCACATCTGCTTCAGGTAGAAGAGTTATTTGCGCATAAACTTCATCTGTCTCTTGTTCAGCCTACAAGCCAATTTTATAGCTACTAAGTGAACCATAAAAGAAAAAAGGAAAAAAGCCCTGGTATGACCCGATGAAACAAAAAAAAAAAAAATCATATACAAGGAACATGTGCATGATGACAAAACATACCCGCAGCTGAACATTCATTACTTTGCAAAGTATTTTTGCTGGAAGATTGAATGAAGGGAGTTGTTGATCTAATCCTTGGTGGGTTGATGCTTCAAGCTGTCAGAATAAATAATATCCCTAAATATTAAAAATGAAACCAATTTGCAGAAAAATAGGGAAGACTATTGACATGAGAATAGAGTGCACGCCAATGGGTTCCAGCCACTCTTGTAGCGTTGAAGTATAGTGAAAGCTATTGTACAAGGATTTCACGTCCAGTCAAAGACAATAACTTTGTACAAAGGATCAAGTCAAAACAAAGCGGAAAAAACTTTCTGGGAGGGTGGGAAGCAATGCACAACCAGAAGGCTAGCTGTATCAGTATAGCAGATACTCTTATTAATTAACCAAGCTTTGACTATGTTTATCAGTCAAATACAATAACTTTGTACAGAGTACAAAGGATGAAGTCAAAACAAAGCAGAAAAAACTTTCTGGGAGGGTCGGCGGCAATGCACGACCAAAAGGCTAGCTGTATCAGTATAGCAAATACTCGTGTTAATTAACAAAGCTTTGACTATGTTTATGTCGAGGTAATACTAGGCTCACCCGGCAGGGGGCAAAGAGTATAGTCAGTCAAATGTACTTTTAGTTAATTCAACTTTGTTTTTATTTTATCTTACCGATATAAAGAATTCATCATACCTGTTCCATGTGGCCTTGTGGGAAGTAATAAACTCGTTCTCCTTCACGAGGAACAGTAACAAGGGGTCCAGCACAGGCATGCCACAGTTCCTTGTACAAAGCATCATTCGCAGGCCCTATAATTTAAAAGGAATGGAGAGTCATATTTAAAGAAAAGAAGATAACTAGAAAGGAGAAAAGGAACAAACATAAACACCAATGAGGTTTTCCACTGAAGGATTTTTCTATGTAAAGATATAAGTAGTGTATTTCTATTTGAAAATTAGTATTCAAGCACAAAATCATCGTAACACACAACCACATTCAACTAATGATATGAAAAAGATTAGCAATCATGCATGTGATAAAGGAACAGACTCAAAATAACACACAAATAACTTCTGTGTAACACCAAGAATCAGGCACAAGTAGTGGTGATTCAATCAGCGTCATCTGCACAAGCTAATGCAAAAAAACTGAATAAAATGGAGCTTATAATGCTTTTTCACCACCAAATTTTGAGGAAAGTGAAACAAACATGAATTTAGAAGTATTGTATTTTATCTAACAACTGGATCTTATTTAACTAAACAAGGAATTCAACTGGTCTTGCTTGAGCCTTAATTATTTTATTTATTTTTCTGTAGTGCCAAGATATTGAAATACTGGGTCTCTAATTTGGTAGACCAACCAAACAGAGAGCAATTAAAGAACAAGTTTCAGTCAAAAAACTTCATTACATAATTCCAACCACTTATAACTGGTAGTGAAGTGGGCACAAACAATAAGCAATAAACCACCACCATTGGGATATTAAACACTCCAACTAATTGCAAAATCATATGATAGGATTTAATTTGAATACATAAAAATCTCAAACCTGATAGAGACCCTCCAGAGAAATGATGCCCACCAATATGTGCCATGAGAAGACCAACCCAAGATCCTCAAAGCTCCCAATTTAGAAAGAAACCTGGTTCTGTGATAGAGGCCGATGTTGTGTTGGAGGAGACACTGACTCAACTCAACTAACTACCAAAACCAACCAACAATCAATAAGTAATCAATATAACTCCAGAAATATAATTGGGAAGATCATTAATGCAATAGATGACTTCTTAGAACAGCAATTAAAGACCTCAAATACTTAGAAAGTGTCAGTTACTCTACACTTTCCGGCCTTAAATGCAGCAAAAGAAGTTTGGCTGTTCTGTTATGTCCCAAGACACAGTTCACCCAAAAAGCATGACACTTTTAACTACTTGGAAAAAAGAAAAATCTTTGCAAAGTAAAAATCACATGTTCGTTAACACATCCCAGCACAAAAGCAAAATTGGGTAGCTTTTCATAAAGCTTAGATGCATAAATACATATATAAACATATATCGATCCATATATCTGTTGTCAATTTAAAATTAATTGGGGAAATTACAATTTAGTGGAGTTTTCACAAAATAATTACATATTCATGAAAAAATTCAAGACTTTAATCATTAAAATTTATAAACTTCAACTGAATTGAAATTTCCCCTTAATTTAAAGGGTATAAGATCGATGTAGACCTTGAAAATCGATTCATTTTCGACTCAGTGAAGATACAAAAATTCAAATCCAGTACAAGATCAGCAAAAACAGTAAAGGACGAATCAAAACGAAACAGAAAGGTAATCGAAAAACGAAAACGAAACAACAATTCAACAAAACAGTCAAGTTACCTAAGAAATTCAACGGATTCGGGAGGTGATTGAGACCCTACAAGAATCGGCCGTTTCTGTAGAGCAGAGAAGGTTGGAAGATTGAGCGAAGAGAGGTGGATCGGAGGCAGAAATTAGGGTTTGAAGAGGGTGAAGATGAGAGAGAGAGAGTGGGCGGGTAGGAGACGAGATCGATGATCTTTTCTTTGCCTGGTTGAAGCCGACAGGACCAGTGCAAGTATATAAATATTTATTTTATTTTAGTAAAATAATTATATGGTGTTTCTCTCTCTTGTTTTTTCTATGTATGTGTGGACTTGCTGCTTCTCTTTTAGCTTGTTTCTCTCCCTAGACTTGTCCTGGTGGCGTCAATGGAAAAGTTAGAGTGGAACCAGCACGTGGGAAGGAAAAAAAAATTATAAAATATATTATAAGAGTGTAAGGCCATGATTGTTTGGGTGGATATGAGTTTGGGATTGGATTAATAGTCTAATAAAATTATTAATTTAATATTTGGTTAAATAATTGAAGTATGAACTAATTATTTTAATCTTGACTATTAGTTAAGATAGGATACATAATCCAACGGATTCGTAATCCTAGGACTATTAGTCATGGGAATGCTAATCCAGTACGCCCAAACAAACATAGCCTAAGTGTATTTATAATGAGATATAAATAAAACAGTAATACTATGCATCATGAAATAAATATCATGAAAAGTTTATGAAATTAATTTAAGGGTGATTGCATAACATATAACAAAACACTATAAACTAATTCAAAGGTGGAGAATCTTTATGAAGACTTTTCATGATACTTTTTTCATGACACCTATCATTATTGTAAATGAAAAATTATGGGGTTGTATCCTTACGTTGGTAAATTTTTTTTTCTTCCTTACCTCTATGTAGTTTTTAAAAACAGCACCATGTGACGTTCTATATATATTGTGATTGGTACAGATGATGAACTCTACAATTTTATGTTAAGTGATTTGAGAATATAAAAAGTATAATAGTTTGTAACTAGTGGAAAATACCGCTATATGGTGCCCCAATACCAACTAACAATTTTTCCTGTCAAAGAGAAGTTATTCGTTGGTCATCGACACACCCACGTAGTGTTCTAAGTGTATTCTAATTGGTGAAAGAACATAAACTTACAATTTTATATTGAGTAATTAAAGAATATGAATAACATATTAATTTATGATTGACCAAAAACAAGTCATTGGTGCTTGGATCAGCCAATAATTTTTTCCGGTCAAGATGGATAGACTTGACAGACTTTTATTTATTTATTATATTTATTTTTAGTATATGTTAAAAAATTGTTAATGAGTTTTATAAAAATAAATTAAATTAATAACAATTTAAAGAGTTGTTAATTAGAATGACATAAAATTAAAATATTTATAATTTTAATACATATTTTACCTCTCTCAAAACATTTTTATATATTTTATATACATTTTTAAACACATTTTAGAGTTATTTTTAGCATTTTCCATAAATCATATTCCATAATCACTTTAAATTTTATTAGTTGATGTTTATAAGGTATTCATTAACCAAGCTTGGTGTAATATTTTAAAACTAATTTATTACTCAAAAGTCAAAACTAAGTTCATAAAATTTAATTTGTTTAACACATTCTTAATATTTTACTTTTTTGATAAATTTTTAAAATGATTAAATGTACATAATATTAGAGAATGCACATTATAATAAAGAATGTATAATTATTTTAATTTTTATTAATTCATATAGGAATATTTTTTTAAAAAAATCCAAATATGAGAAGGTGCAAGTAAGACATGTCTTAGTTACACTCTTAATATTTTATAATTTTTTCCTCTATGCACTGTTGAGTAATTCTTCTTAAATTAAAATTGTTTATACTCCATTGTAATTAATGTGAAATGGGTAATGGGTGCGCAGTGCGCATAACCGGTACAGATAATGAACTCTATAATTTTATGTTAAGTGATTTGGGAATATAAAAAGTATAATAGTTTGTAATTGGTGGAAAATACCGCTATATGGTGCCCCAATACCAACTAACAATTTTTCCTATCAAGGAGAAGTTATTCGTTGGTCATCGACACACCCACATAGTGTTCCAAGTGTATTCTAATTGGGGAAAGAACATAAACTTACAATTTTATATTGAGGAATTGAAGAATATGAATAACATACTAATTTATGATTGACCAAAAACATAGTCATGTGGTGCTTGGATCAACCAATAATTTTTTCCAGTCAAGATGGATAGACTTGACAGATTTTTATTTATTTATTATATTTATTTTTAGTATATGTTAAAAAATTGTTAACGAGTTTTATAAAAATAAATTAAATTAATAACAATTTAAAGAGTTGTTAATTAGAATGACATAAAATTAAAGTATTTATAATTTTAATACATATTTTACCTCTCTCAAAACATTTTTATATATTTTATATACATTTTTAAACACATTTTAGAGCTATTTTTAGCATTTTCCATAAATCATATTCCATAATCACTTTAAATTTTATTAGTTGATGTTTATAAGGTATTCATTAACCAAGCTTGGTGTAATATTTTAAAACTAATTTATTACTCAAAAATAAGTTCATAAAATTTAATTTGTTTAACACATTCTTAATATTTTACTTTTTTGATAAATTTTTAAAATGATTAAATGTACATAATATTAGAGAATGCACATTATAATAAAGAATGTATAATTATTTTAATTTTTATTAATTCATATAGGAATATTTTTTTAAAAAAATCCAAATATGAGAAGGTGCAAGTAAGACATGTCTTAGTTACACTCTTAATATTTTATAATTTTTTCCTCTATGCACTGTTGAGTAATTCTTCTTAAATTAAAATTGTTTATACTCCATTGTAATTAATGTGAAATGGGTAATGGGTGCGCAGTGCGCATAACCCGAGAATAAGACACACAGAATAAGACACACACCCTAGCATAGTAACAGCGATCGAAGGCGTGTCCTAATACCCCTACAAGTTCCCCATCCTATGTCCACTCCCTCAGTAATTAAAATATGCCTCAATTATACTTCGCCCCACTATAAAATATTAGAAAAATGTTTGGGAGCATCAATTAGTGCTCCCACTAATTAGGTAGCAGTGGGTCCCGTCATTAATGATGTGATGTTTTGGTCTTGGAGTTGTATTTTATTTTTATTTTTTTAACTTTTTTAATGCATTAGTGCTATTAGTGGTGATGTTTTTAGTGGGATGAATCATTGTTGAAAATATTAATAAATTATCTCAAATAAGGCTATTTTTCACTTTGCCCCTCAAAATATTAAAACTCGGCACTTAACCCCTTATTTTAGGGGGGTACGTCAAAACTTAACAATTAACCCCTTTCAAATCACAAAAATAATTATGGGTACGAAATCCTAGCCAGTAAAACACCATAATCTTTCTCTCTCTTTCTCTATTATTTAGGAAGAAAAGAGAGTGGTCCTTTAGCCATCATTTTCTTTTTGTTTTACTCTCTCGCAGTTTATCCTATTTTATTTATTGTTTATCACCATACTAGCCACTACTGTTCCTCTCATCTCCCTTATTGATTTGCCACCAAAAAAGTTTTCAAACCTTTACTTAGATTTTATTCTTGACTGGAATTCAACACTGTTAAATGCATTTTACAAGCTAAGCGACTACTTCAAATTCATAAAGTTTAATATTGTAATATAGATGCGGGGATTAAGGTACCACATCTATCAGTTGTAATGTTGAATAGATCGTGAAGCTGATTGATAATGCTTGTTTGGTGGTTTTTTTATTTTTTGTTGCAATAATACCTCTCTATGGAGTAATTTGGGAAGTTGGTTAAAAACTGATTTTTTTATGTTTTTTTTTTTTTTGGTCATTTTGTGTGTAAAAAATGTGAAAGGTGATGTGACTCAAAATGGATTAAAAGTTAAAAGGGAAAATTCTATTCCACACACTTAATTATCTCAGTGCACATCTTCTCTCAGTACACACTTATTAATTAATTTTTTCAATCTACACACTAAGGTCATGTTTGTTTTGGTGGACATGAGCTTGGGATTGAACTAATAGTCCAATAAAATTATTAATCCGATGTTTGGTTAAACAATTGAAGTACGGACTAATTATTTTAAACTTGACTATTAATTAAGATAAGATACATAATCCAACGGATTCGTAGTCTTAGGACTATTAGTCATGGGAATGCTAATCCAGTCCGCTCAAACAAACATGGCCTAAAAGTTATAATTATACTCTTCACTAATAACTATTGTACACATACTATTCAACCCTCTTTTCCACACACTTATTGAGTTACCTTGTTTCCAGATTTATAGACAAAATCCTCCATTGAAGATGTACTGTTGTGTGGTGCACGGGTTCTAGAGGTCAAAGTCCCAACCTTGTCTTTGGGCCCCATCTGTGTACACCTTTGGTTACAAAGATTAGGATGCATGCCAGATGTGGGTTAATCAGATCACCACTTTTGTAAATATGGGAACGGGGCGAAAGCAACCAAAGAGTCTTCTGGTATGCTCCATGACCATCAGTAGTTAGATGTTTCAATTTGTGATTTTTCAAATTGATGTCTTTATTATTCATTTCACCGAGAGATGACATGAACATAAATTAGGGTTTAGCTTTTTTTTTTATTCAAAAAGTGTAGATAGAGATTTTTTATTTTTAAAAGATGTATACAGAGAATATTTTCATATAATATTATGTGTTGGTGGATATCCATTATGATCATTTTAATTTAGGATATAATTGTTATTAAAATAATATTTCATTAAGTGTGCGCACTGAGTTAATTAAGTGTGTGGAAATAAAATTTCCCAGCTAAAAGCTAACTTTTTTGTTGCTTCCCAAATAGTCCTTATGTAAAGGTTTTCTCCTCCCTACGTAGAGGTTTATCTTTCTCCCTATGTGGAGACTCGTATTCTCCTTGCGTGGAGATTCTCTTTATTTCTATTGAAATATATTTTTACTCCGATGTACTTTAATTGATTGTTTATTGTCAAATGTACAATATATTAGGTCTCGTATTTCTATATATATATATATATATATCACAACACAATAATGTTAATTTACATTTACATTTTTACCTTTCTAACTATAATATATATATTGCAAAATGGGATTATTTGGTGCAATTTTATGTGAGGTGTTATAGTTTTTTTTATTATAAGAGTTTATGCTAGATTGTTTGGTACAATTTCTACTTATTAGGCATAAATAATTTAAATAAGCTGAATTTTTTAT